ATGACATGAGACAAAGTATATGTGAACTGCTGTATGAAAAGTGAATTTGCTCTGTAAATCTTCACCCAAATCACAATTAAAAAAAGAAAACTTTGGGTCCTTCGAATGAGACAAAGAAACCTATTAAAAGAAAGCCCATGTACACATTAAGTGGCTAATTGCTAATTTTATGTTATGTGAATTACCTCAATTAAAAAAAAAAAAAAAAAAGGAAGGAAGAAAAAATCCCAGTGTTTCTGTAGAGGATGGGTATGGGACAAGAAGTAGCCAGGGGGCACCTAGTAGGGGGATTTGGTTTGCCTAATGTGTCTCACCTTCCCCAGGAGAAGCTCGGGGACTCGCATTTTCACTATCCCAGAAGGAAGCTCTAAGCCCAAGAGAGCCAAAGGGCGGGGCAAGCAGGATGAGGAAGAGGAAGTCTCTAACCTCTACACTCGCCAAGACATGTGAGATGAGCCCATGAACCACATGTGGGAGGGCAGGGCTGATATGCTCATCTCTCATCCCAATCTTGAGTTCACCTTCATCCCTCCCTTCCACACAGGCTGTCCTACATAGATGAGCAGGCAGAGACCCCCCAGCACCTGGTCTTTTTGTCACCTCACCGACCCCACAGATATGTAGATGGGCACCATGCCCCTCGTCGCCGTCTGCTGCCCCCCACCCCTGCAGGTGAGAGTGGGAGTAGGTTCTAGGAGCCCCCCAAGGGCCTGCAAGGCAGGCAGCTAGGGAGGCATTGATGTCTCTCTTTGTCCCGGTGCTCCACCTGCTTCCAGGTCGGAAGGCTTCCTTCACCATTCAGTGTCTGAGGCGCCAGCGCAGCTGTGAGGATTTACCCATCCCAGGCACCTATCATCGTGGGCGAAACTCAGGGCCAAGCAGAATCCAGGTGAAGTGGGGGAGATGCTGGGGTCTGGAGGGGTGGAGAGTAGCTTAAGCTGAATTTATTTATCAAACATACTACCAGTTCTTTCTTAAGAATGAGACATGTATGAATTCACATAATCCTCACTATACCTGTGAGGTGGGTACTCTTGTTACTTACCTTCAGTTCACAGATAAGGAAATTGAGGCCCAGACAGGCTTACCCAAGATCACTTACAAGATCTGCTAGTAAATGGCAGAGCTGAGATTTGAACCCAGGCTTTATATGCTCTTACATAAACTCAAGTTTGATTTATACCTATTCAGTTTCATTCCAGTTCTGTAGTGAGGGTAAGTGATAGTGCTCAGGAGTGAGTATTAGACTCTCACACCACACCCATCAATCACTGTCTCTCTGGTATTATTCTGGCCCAGGGTTCCTGGGCAACCCCTCCTCAGCAGAGTCGACTCCTATATGCCCCACTGTTATTGGTGGAGGAGGGTGCAGTGGGAGAAAGGTACATTGGCAAATCCAGCGGTTTGCTGCGGACCTTCACCTGTCTTCATATGCCTGGAACCCATTCAGAGGCCAGCCATGGCAAGAGGGGCAGTGCTGACAGCTTGGTGGAGGCTGTGAGTCCAGAGGGCATGTGGGCAAGAAAGGTGGGAGAAAAGAGGAGAGGGGGAGCTTGGGAAAGAGAATAGGGGTCCCCAGTCTCTGTGTAAGGAGCCCTAGTGGATCAGTGGTTAAGCGCAAGGCTGCTAACCAAAAGGTTGGTGATTGGAACCTGCCACTCCGCAGGAGAAAGACGTGGCAGTCTGCTTCCATAAAGATTACAGCTTTGGAAACCCTATGGAGCAGTTCTTGTCCTATAGGGTTGCTGTGAGTCAAAATCGACTCAAAAGCAATGGGTTTTGGTCTCTGTGTTGTGCATGTAGATATCCCCTTGCTTTGCAACATCTGCTCAGCTTCGATGTGTATACATCTATCCCCACTGACTTCCCTGCATGCCCTCATGGGCCCACCATTTATCCTCACTGACCTGTGCATGCTGCTTCATCTCCATGCTGTTCCTGTCTCCTCTGTCAATGCTGATGCCATCTGTGCCCCCAGGTGCTCATCTCTGAGGGGCTGGGTCTCTTCGCCCGAGACCCACGCTTCGTGGCCCTGGCCAAGCAGGAGATTGCAGATGCATGCCACCTGACACTGGACGAGATGGACAGTACAGCCAGCGACTTGCTGGCACAAGGGGCCAGCTCGCTCTATAGCGATGAGGAATCCATCATCTCTCGCTTAGATGAGGAAGACCTGGGAGATGAGATGGCCTGCGTCCATGCCCTCTGAATTCCCACCCCTCTCTCACTGCTCAATAAACCTCCTGCCCTCTTCTCCTCAGAGGGAGACAGGCTTGGACATCCCTTTGTGTTTTGAAGTCTTTGCACTGGAGGCCTGGGGCTTCCCGGAAGCCCGTATCCATCCATCCTGTTCCAACCCTGAGCCACTGCCCACACATGTGTATTTCCAGAAACCAGGACAGTCAGGCCTGATTATTCAGCGTCAGGGAAGGAGGGGGGAGGAGAAGGAAGAGACAGTGGCCAAAAAAAGCTAGAGACAGAATGGAGGTGGTGGCGGGGGGGCTGGACTGAGACAAAGAAAAGGGGAGAGGATGTGGTAGGGCTTGGATGAAGACTGGGGGAATGTCAGAAATTCCGCAAGGAGTCAGTCAAGTTAGACTGGAGAAGGACAGAGGGATGAGAAGGAAAGCATGAAGAAACCCAGAGTAGAGTCCTGCCAGTAGAAAGGCCCACAAGAAAGGCTTCCAGCCCAGAGGAGCCTACTCAGGACACACCTAGCTTTCCCAAGACTACCTAAGAGTAACCCAGTCTCCTCCCACACAGATCCCAGAGAGCTTCTGCTTCCTGTCTCACCTTAGTCACAGCCTAACCTTTGGGATCTCATTCGTTCAGTGACAATATATTGAGCACTTACTGTGTGTGAGCCACTGCTCTGGGCTTCCCTTAAAGCAAACTGAGCAGGCTTAAAGATGTGACAGGACTTGTCCAGAGTGGTGGACTGGCCTACTTCAAAGGAATTGGAGGCAGTGTCGGAAATGAGGCAGTGCAAGATGGGGCCCCCACTGGGGAGAGTCTGAATAGCCTCCCAGCAAGCTGAGCAGGGGCTCAGATCCACATAACTTGTGTCAATCCAGCTAGGTCTAAAATTTGGGAGAAGCCAGAATTGGAAACTAGAACTCAGGATGTAGAGATACACTAATCCTTGAGACATGAGTTGAAATTTTGGCTGTTGTCTAGAACAAGAACAAAGGTTTGAAGCAGTTGGGTTGGCATATTGTGGGAATAGCAAGTCATGGACAGGGTATGGAGAGTGAAGGGATACTGTTAAGGGGTGAGATGGAAAAGGCCACCTGAGGCCAGATCACGCAGAGCTCTTCAATATCAGGCCTCAACTTCTGGGATTTTTCATGAAAGCCGTGGGGAGCCATGGGAAGGACTTGAGTAGGATAGTGACATAGTTAACTTTGCATTTGAAATAGATGCTATGGCTGCTCTGCTGAAAACAGAAAGGGGGGGAGGACTGGAGTTGCTAAAATTGGCAGGAATGATGGCTGCCTTAGCCAGGGGAGGTAGCAGAGGAGATGGTGAGAAGTGAGTGGATTCCAGAGACATGTAGGAGGTAAAATGGACCATTTATTGGGCTTTTTGCTAGGTGAATGACAGTGGTTATCTTGTTAAATCAGTACAACAACCCTATAGATACCATTATTAAACCATCTTACATACCCAAGATCATACAAGACTAAACATTAGACACAGAGTTCAAATTCAAGCAGTTGAGTGCCAAAACCTATACTCTTTAACCCTTCCTATACACCGCTTCTCCCAATTAAGGTAACATCTGGCAGTACCCATTAGATATTTATGTGAACTTATATATGTGTTTTTTTAAAATAGGTATACAGGCAGTCCCCAGATTACAAAGTCTGATTTAGTACAACTCCCAGTAGTCACGAACCAATCCCCGTAGAGCTTATTATATTAAAAATTCTATGTACATACGATGGTTCCTAATAACAAATGGGTGCTACTTTGTGACACACATCAAAGCATTATTTTTACTGTATTATTATGTTAAAGATTTTTTAGTGTATCTGGAAGTGCTTCTTTAATGTTTTTACTCATAATAAGGTACACTATATACTAAGACAAGGAGCTCTGGTGATGTAGTGCCTAAAGCACTTGACTGCTAACCAGAAGGCTGGCCGTTCAAACCCATCAGCCACTCCTCGGGAGGAAGGTTGGGCAATCTACTTTCATAGTGATACTGCCTCGGAAACCCAAGGAAGGGTCACTATGAGTCAGGTCTGACTCAAGGCACATAACAACAACTCCTCAGAAGAAAGACAGGGCAATCAGCTTCTGTAAAGATTTACTGCCTTGGAAACCCAAAGGGGGTCACTATGAGTCTGATTTGATTCGATAGCAATGAGTTTTGTTTTGGTTTTTTTATTTAAGTCAAACATTTGACTGACTGATGTTACCTAACTGTCCTGACTTGCATACAAATTCAACTTAAAGACAGAATTATGAATGGAACTCAATCGTAATACAGTGACTGCCTATACATTCAGATGGTTCAAAATTTAAAAAGTATATGCAAAAAAAAAAAAAATACCTCAACACACTGCCGTGGAGTTGGATCTGACTCATAGCGACCCCTCCTTGGGTTTCCAAGGCAGCATCATTACAGAAGTAGATTCCCCAACCTTCTTTCCGAGGAGTGGCTGGTGGATTTGAACCGCCAGCCTTCTGGTTAGCAGTCAAATATGCCTTAGGGGGTATAAAGTGAAAACTTTCCATATTCTCTGGAGGCAACTAGGGTTATCAGATATGTTTTATGCATATATAAGATGCTGCACTGATAAATTAGCACAATGGTTAAGAACAACATGTGCTGGCACCAGACTTCCTGCGTTCAAATCCTGGTTGCACCACTTACTAGATGTATGAACTTAGACAAGCTCCTTCAGCTCTCTGCACCTCAATTTAGTCCCCTGTAAGATGAAGATAGTAGTGGTACCTACCTTACAAGGTTCGTCTGATGGTTAAATGAGTAATATATGTGAAGTTCTCAGAACAGTACTTGACACAAAACAGCTATAATTTAATTGTTAGCTATTGTATCTGTGATGAATTCCCTCCCTCTTCTTTTTACCCAAGTTCCATATGGTTTGGCATCTTGAATTTTTACTTAAATATCTTAGCAACCATTCTGTATCTCCATATTATTATTATTAATGACAGCTCCTCCATTTTGTGGTTGTATCAGAGTTTATTTAAACAGGTCACCAGTAATGAGCACGTAAGAGTGTCCACTCTTTCCAATTATAAACAGTGCTGCAGTGTATCATCTTATACATATATCTTAGCACATGTATGACTCCATTCCCTGGAAAAGGATATCATGCTTGGTAAAGTGGAAGGTCAGTGAAAAAGAGGAAGATCCTCAATGAGATGGATTGACACAGTGGCTACAACGATGGGCTCAAGTATAGCAAGGATTGTGAGGATGGCACATGACCAGGCAGTGTTTCTTTCTGTTGTACATAGGGCCACTATGAGTCAAAGCCAACTCGACGGCACTTAACAACAACGTGAGTCTAACCATAAGAGAAATTTATAGACGTGTGAATGCTCTTAGTAGTTTTTATGGGGAGTTGTTTTTCATCTTTGAAGATGTTGTTGTTGTTGTTATGTGCCATCGAGTCGGCCCCGACTCATAGCGACCCCTCCTTGGGTTTCCGAGGCAGTATCACTATGGAA